ATAGTATGATGGTTATCAGTCATTCAGCAGCACAAAGCACTACGCACCAGTTAAAGGTAAGAAGTGAAGATGTGAGCAATGGAATCAGTAATATTTGGTTCTTCTTTTCTGTATTGAGAAGATATATTTCCATAAGGATTTGACCACTGGCCAAGCACAAGCTGTAACTTTTTTCTTGCTGGGTCCTCCACTTGGCAGTCTAATGAAATCTGTTCGAACTCAGTAGCCTTGAGAAAAGGCTGAAATTACAATGGTGTAAAAAGCTGTGGGTGAACAATATACACCCACATATTTATAGATATGCATAGAGTATTGTTGTAGGTTTAGATAGTCTTTGAGTAATGCCATTACATATAACATAAATCCTAACACCTGGTCAATGTAACATGAAGCTGCTGTCTTTTCTCTCAGCAGTTATATACGTGGAAATACAGACAAAGCTTCATCTTGCACTTCTTAGTTTTTCTTGGATTATTTCTTCAAAAGATGAAGTCAGGCAAGGAGTGTTATTCTAAACCTATGCTATATGATAAATTTAACATTGTGAAAGCAAAGCTTTCTGGACTGTATAAAAGTAACTGAGCAAGTTATTTTTAAAGACTTTTTATCCTGAACTGGAGAATATATAAATTTAATGATCTGGTCTTTCTGTCTGGGAATCTATCTTTGCCTTTGGGTCAAATTCCTAGGAAATAATTGAGAATATGGCATGGGATCAGAGATTCCATATAATTCTCTAATAATTGTGCTGGAATTTCTGAGCATTCAAGAAGCAGTTCTTGTCAGAAGACCATGCTGGGATTACAAAGCACTTGATACAACTTTTTGAGTGTTTATGTAGTTGATGTAGTTGAGTTTGCCTATAGATGGCACCAAAGACAGTTGTGTGCAGCCATGAAATCTCCAGGATTATTTTGGATGAGAGGGAACCAAAAACCAATGAGAATGAGTTAACAGGTGGGCATTCATAGGGAAGGAATAGAAGGGGAAAGAACTGATATTTAAAAGAAAAAAATCTAATTTACCAAACCACAACTGAAAGACTGCAAAATATAAATTTATATAGTTACCAATGTGGTAATTTGATTTTCTTTTCTGGAGCTTGATACACAGAAGCTCTGATATTCTTGTTTTCGTGACTATAAGACCTGTTGATAAGCAAATCAAAAGTTATTGAGCAACCATATCCCATCTCTTCGATAGTGTGCTCCTTAGGCCTTCTGTGCAGAAAGTTTTCCTGAAAGTCCATACCAGCCTAATGTTTTCTGTGTGTGCTTGCAAGCAAAAGTAACGTGGAAATTCAGTTTCATAAAATACGAACACTGAATAAGTTCAGATTCCACTGCACCCACTTACTATAATGTTGTAAAAATACAAGCAACTAAGCATAAAAATGTTATGTACGTGTCTGTTCAGGGATTTAATCAAGATGTATCTATTTCGGTAACCCATTCCAGGAAATGAATCCAACCTTGGCCCCCTCTGCCCACACTGGGTGAAGGGCTCCAGGCGCCTCTGATGATGCTGCATCAAAGATTTTCCACATGGGCTGGCTGCTAATTCAAAGAAGAAACTTTACCAGTCTGTGCATGTAACAAATGTTCTGACATCCCCTTGCCCTTTCTGTGCTCTCTCATTCCTCTTGTTAGAAAATGAACGCCAGATTTTGAACAGTTGGAGAACTGAAACTGAATCTGTAGTTTACAAATGGCCCTAGGTCGTGATTTCCAAACGAATAGTGTGGTGGTAAAATTACTTAGAGTATTCCCTGGCAACTAGGCAGCCAGCTTCCACTACATATCAGGAGATTTTATCTTTGCAAGCATGGTTCTGCTCCTTTATCCCTTCTTTATCAGGACAAACCAAATTTTAGTTTGAGAGATGGTACATTCAGTGTCTGGAGCAATAGCCTGGGTTTTGAGATTAGGTTTCCAAACCCTGACCCGCCACATCCTTCTTTTAAGAGCTTGTGTAGGATGATCAAAATTCTTTGATGCAAAATGTATCGATTTCCCACTTAAAGAGAGCATAGTAAGTCTTTATTTTGCAAGAGGTATTGGGAGGATTAGAGATTAAACTGTTCCTAATGGTATCGAGGGGACTATGTGTGCAGCTGAGGTGTGTTTGAAAGCTCAGTCATTGGGCTCAGTGGGACCCAGATCTGCTGCTTGTGTTTTGGGTCGATAATGAATTGTCTTAAGTGGAGATAAAACATATAAACAAAATTTCCTTCATGCTGGGAATTAAGAAGCAGTATTACACTGAGTAGGATGGAATTACTCTAGACACTGAGAACAGATTATTGGTGTGTTACGCGGGGTGTTGTTAGATCCTTTCTGATTTGATGTAGCATAAACAATGTATAATAGAATATGGGTTTTAACTGTGTGCTCATCAGTGTTTTATTTGTGTACTTTATTCATAAAAGCTTGATGCAGAGGATTTAATCCTTACTTAGCAGATTGATCAGAGAGGTTATAGAGCCTCCGTGTTTGAAGATACTCAAACTCATCTTAGCGCAGTATGATCTAAGTTGGCCCTGTGGTCAGGGGATTGCACCAGTGACCACCAGAACTCTCTTCTGGTATAGATTACTCTGTGATCCTGTGCCATGGTTGTGGTAATATTGTGAGATCACCATTCGTCTCTTTGCTACTTAAGATGGCATCCATATAGACATCCTGCAAACAAAGGTTTTCTCTAGCACTATGGCAGTGTGAAGTCTAGAGAGCGCTCCTTGCTATTCCCTAAAAAAAAAAAAATTGAAGGCCGCCACTGGCTGAATTTAAACTAATTTAAATGAACCTTCCGAAAAAATTTTACTTTACAGATGTTTTTATGAATTTCTGTAGTTTGGTGAATGAATGATGTGATCTTTCCTTTTACGTCTGCTGCTTGGTTTATTCTGTGACAATATGCTACAAAGCAACAGGCATTAAGCAACGATTGGTACGTTCCTTGGGTGCATCATCTGGGATGTAGAATAAAGGTTAAGGATGATTTTTCAGTTTTCTGTGTAGTCGATTGCTGTTGGCACTTACGTATGTCTGTGTAGTGCCATACTTGGTAAAAGTATGTCTTTAAATGGAAGATGAGAGGTATTGTTTTCATTTTTAATGTCTGTCACACAAAAGAAGTTGTTTCCTCTTTTTGGAATTTATTCTCTTCTAATTTAGTTCAGCTCTAAAAATGCACTTCCTACGGCCAGCAGAAGATTTAACAGGGACCCAAGCATTGTTTTTGATGAACAGGCTATGAGCTTTTTTTTAAAAAATTGAGGACTTAGAGTTTTACTGTAATTTCTTAATGAAATGGCTGGATGGCTTTAGTAAAATTTAAAACTCATCTTGTTACTGGGAGTTACTGTTTTAAGAAGGATGGATTTTCTGATGAAGAAAGTTCTCTAAGTTTTACTTAAAGTTGCAATATATGTGAAAATTGCCTAATTCATAGAAATACTTAATTCCCCTCTTGTGTCAACAGAAGGGACTGATGTACAGTTGTTTAACATCTCTGAAATGCAGGATAGTCTTGCATTTCTTGCATTCCACATGAGACTTTCAGGTGTGCAACGAATAAAATGTCAGGCTTGTCACTTAGTGTATTGTGTGTGCCATCTGCTTGTGAATTAATGACATGATATTTTAATGATTAGCAGTGTGAAGAGCTAATGTGTGTGTTATATCTGTATACTGCTGCAGGTCTGGATTGCTCTGGCTTGTTTCTTCAGCAGATAGGAAAATGAATAAGGTAAAAGGAACCACTAGTCTCATCATTATGCAAAATATTTCAGTGCTCTATTTAACAGCAGCTATAATTTAAGCCCAGATTTAACATCAAAGGCACTGGGGATAGAATTAAGATTTATATTCATTATAATTCTGCCAAGGCTTCAGTGAATCTGATTGCTAGAATTCCTCTTTTGCATTAACAGTCTTAAATCTGCCGAACAGCTCTCTTACATGCCTGGGTATGAGTGAGCTGCACTTGCCTCACATAATCATCTCGCAATTCATAGAAATGCCAACACTGAATGTTACATAAAAGTTCCAGCAGGCTTTGTTTCTGCTCTTCTTCAAAACAGCTGCCAAATTATGTTATAATTATCACCCAGTTTCAGCAGGGAGGATTAAAATGACAGTCTACTTCTGAGCTGGAACCAAGTCATGGTAGATGGGAGAGGTCTCAACTAAATGTTGGTGGGGAAATTTCCAACCCACTCATCCAGAAATGCACAGCATCTACTCAGTCTACTGAGCTCTGCATTTAGCCATGAATAATATTTACTTTGTCCGTTAATGAAAACAATGCTCTAACTAGCTTTAAACCATGTAAGACACTTACCAAAGGAAAGACTAGTTCTTTGTAATTTTCATACTTACGTAAATTGCTAATATAATGGGTTATATAGATGATTATTCATTATAATAAATGAAATAATTGAGTAATGGCTGTAATTTAGCTGCATAAGACAGATAGTATTTGTACTCTGCTTCACTTTAAGATAATCAAATAGCAAGGCTGGCTGTTTTTCATCTGTAGTGAACACAGACATTCACAAATGTGACAAAGTATTATTGTTTAGTAGGTATGAAGAGGTAACAAGCAACATGCTCATGATTAACAAAAAAAACCTCCAGGCCTGGCCCATGTCATCAAGGCAGTGTGACTTGTGACAGTGTCAGATGTGGGATTAGAACCTTCTCCTCTGTCTCACAGCTGCCTTAGGTTTCATGAAAGATAAATCTTCTTGAGGGAGAGTTACATTTTAGGTTATAAACACTTTCTGACGATGTATGCTGTAGCCTAGTACTTCATTTTGTAAAATTACCCACAAATTTATTCTGTGCTTTGAGCTATGTGTCAGCTCCTCTTAAATTTTTTCTCAGAGTCTCAGGTCTGGAACTGAATATAAATTATTTTTGGCTATCTTGTTAGGATTGCTTTTCCTAAAGGATCAGAGAACTAAGTAGAAATAAAACTCAACAAAATCAGGACAATTAAGCCTTAAAAGATGTCATATTGTTTAAGAACATCAAAACTGTGTCTGGCAAGTCAGCATGGTAAAGTACAGAGATGGAAAACCTAAACAAAACCAAAATAAATTAAAAAAAAAAAAAGCTTTTCCCCAGATTTTTTAAATGTTTCTTTTTGTCCCATCTTCCAGCCATGATTTCAACACTAGGAGTAGTTGAAAATGACAAAGTGCCTTCTTTACAATGGAAACGTAACAATGCTGTGTCACCAAAACATCTGTAAGTTGCAAGATTTCTCAGCAATCCTGTGTGTGAATTTGGTGTATGGGGAATTGCTAATGCCTGAAACAATATAAAAACATACAAACACATGCTGAGTGCGAAGTGCTTGTTGGACGAGGTAATTGGAAGAGTCAGTCCAAGGCTGCCTTTGGTCTAATGCTGCTTATGCCTGCACCAGAGATTGGAATTCTGTCAGGAAAAAAAAAAAAAAAAAAGAGAAAGGCAGGGAATAAAACTAGATGAAAGTGCTTATTAACATCCTTAAAAAAGGTAGATAAAAATGTCCTAAACTCCTAGCCATGGAGGGCTCCCAAAGTTATTATAACACTGCACAAGCTACTGCTAAACTGGGATTCTGGGGGCGTGACAGATTTTTCACTCCTTAAAAAGAATATGTGCAGAGAGGAGTGTGTCTGTAAATTCATATTTGTAGGAAATCCTGAGTTAAAAGTAAACTATCTTTAACCCATTTACAAAGTCTGATAATAGCTAAGGCTGCAGAGAATGAATTAATTAGGTCAAGCCTGTAGCTTTCAATGTGAGGGTATTTTTTTTTTATTGTATTACTCCAAAGAAAAAATATTAGTAGTGACGTAACTTCAGAATGGGAAATTTGATGGTTAATATCTAAGCGTAATATAATGCTCTATTTGGGACTCATAAACAGAAGCAGCAAAAGCTGCTGCTGAAGCAAATTCCTCCAACAGTGTCTCTCTCTCCTCCCAAACTCTGGCTAAGATTAGCACGTGTGTCTGTTGGAGTTATTGCCACCTGTCCTAGTTCAGCTAAGACAGCCCTGTTTTCAGTGACTTCATCTCTAATACATGATGTCTAATGCCCTATTTTCCTCTGCTGCAATTTCTAAAAGAAATATCCTGGCTGGTTCACATAATCTCTGTGAGGTTTTGTGAGGAATTTGATTTGGTTTCTCACAGAAGGACTGCCCAGTGAAATTTGCCAATATCAGACAGTTCTCCAGCAGAAAATTATGTGCCGCCTTGTAGCAGTTCTAGATTAAAAAAAAAATAATAATAAAATACCAGTGTTACTTTACTGAATTATCCACTTGGTAACACTGGCCAGCCTTGGAAAGTGGTAGATGAATAAATTTATGTAGTTGAAAGTTGTTTAAAAGTGAACGTGGCATATGACCAGAAGTGCAAAGCATCCACTGCTGAAATGAAAATGCAGAGAATGAACAGATGTTCAGAATGTTTTAAAAATCCCTCACAATGAGTCTATGGATCAGATGCACTGTAGAAATTAACCCCAAAGCTGTTGTTATGGGTTGAAAGAACAGGTTCTACAATGGGCTTAAATGGGCTTTTACTGCAATAGAGACCAAATAGAAATAAGGCTATGAAAAAAAAGGATTATTTGCTAGTATAAAAATTGTATCAGAAAGTAGCAGGCCAAATTGCTGTAATGCATTCTTCATTCTACCATTTAAACGCAGCTAAATGCATGCATTTTAAAACATCAATTCTATGAAATTGCCAAAAGTCTGACCTTCTACTCCAATTTTGCCATCGCCATCAGTGTCACCTGCAGCCAGAAAAGCCTTGGTCTCTGCAGCAGTGAGGACTCTGGCACTTGAAGAGAAATTCTTCAGAAACAGCCTGGAATTGAACAGGGTAGAGTGCTGTGCTTGAGTTCTGTTCTATGAAATGACCTTGGCATGTTGGTATTTCTGATTTTCTAACTTAAATTCATGCCAAAAAAATAAAAAAAAGGTAATGCTTGCTCTTAATTTCTGATGAAGTCCACCCAGATTCAAGGAAAGGCGAAGTACTGCATTTTGTTTGAAAAATAACAACAAGGTTCTTCTAGGGCACCTAGAATGTTCAAAGGTTTACACTGTTCAAAGAAATACATCAGCAGAGCAGTACTTACTGAAGCTCTTCTTCCTCGATGAAACCACTCTTGTCTTGATCGAGGATTCCAAAAACCTTCTTTATCTGATCAGGGGTTTTGCTGGATAAACCAACCGTGGAGAAGAACGACTTGTAATTGAAGGAATCCGCAGCTGGAAGAAACAAAAACCTCTTAAACGCTTTCCCTTGAAGTTGCTCCCACTGGATGTATTCCTGGGGAATATGTATGTCTTTTCTTAAAAATCAGCCTGCTCCTGTTCCTCTTGTTCCCCAGTGTAGCAAGGAAGATGATGTAGTGGATAGTTTCCCTTTTTAATCACTCTGTGCCTTTGGTCATTTCAGCTAGTTTGACGTTTTCTGCTACAATGCACATCCTGCTAAATCAGGATCTTTGCGATCTGTGTCATGCAATTAATAATAAATATTTAGAGGGTGCTGCTGTGGCTTACAGACCAACTCCTAACATTGCATGTTCACTTTTACTTTGGTGAAGAATTTGATAGAAAGTTAAGTAAGCTGCAGTCTTGAACTAGCTCACTGAGCATTTGGAAATTAGGCTTGATCCTGCCAGGGAAGAACTCTAGAGAACTGAGACTAGTCATTGATTCACAGCTGGTGGTTGGATTCTGCAAGCTGTGGCTTTTTTTTTTTTTTTTTTTTTTTTTTTTTACAATTTGAAGGACAAGGATAGCCAGTTACATCCTCGACAGGTTTAAAAATTGAGAGGCAGCTTGGTACTAACTGAAACTGTGGCCCTTTAATTGCTTCTCCGTGTTTCGGGGAATGTTACCCACCAAATGTGCACTTGTAAGACTTTCTGAATTCAAGGGGCTATACTTTAATGTAGCCACAATGAGATCTCACAGGGAAGGAATCTAAGGGGAAAATGATAGGCATGCCATCTTAAGACATAAAAATGATATGCATCTTCTGGCTGAAGAGAGACCATTCCTTACCCTGGCAGCTGGAGAGAGCAGATTCAATATCTTTAGTAGAAAGGATGTCAGTGATGGCCATTGTTGAACTGTAAAATAAATTAAATGTGAGCTACTTAGTCATTAAAATGACTTCTCTACCACTTTCATGGCTCTATTTGAAGTTGCTGCTGTGACAGTATGTGATAGGGGAGACATTATTCATCTAATTGTAAGGGGAGCGTTCTGTAACAGATGTCTGCAGCAGGTGCTTCCACTTAAGGCTGGGTAATGAGGGAGGAATTCTGCATGCGGGAGTGGGGGGCTTCAGGAAGATCTGATGCCTCTATTGCCCTGGGAGAGCAAATCAAAGGTTGCTAGTACCACAAAACTTCATGAATTCTTTGTGGGTTTTCTTGGAGCTGGATTATTACTCAATTAAATTCAGCATATATTTACAGTATAAGTAAAAGATAGGGCCAAGTATGTCCCCTAGAACTACATCTGGAATAAATTTAATTGAAATTAAAAACAAAAATAAATCTGGTATTATCGTCTATAAATGCAGTGATCTTTACAAGAATAAGAATAATAGTGTAGAATGAACAATAATCAATTCTTTTCAAGGAAATCTAAAATCAGAGGGTAATCTTCTGTTCAGCTGCACGCAATAAATGTAGTGACACTAAATTTGGTCTGCTGGGCTGCTGCATCATTAAAAGACTAAATTTCATAGTAGCTTTTAAAAAAGAGTCTTAATTATGTTTTGTTGTTTGTTTGTTTTGGTGTAGATGGTAATAAACCAGATTTTTATCCACATTTCGGCATTTCATTATATTGAACAGTTATTGAGAGTTAAATCTGATTCGTAATAGAATGGTGGAGGCATTTTCTTATGATACAGCAGCATTTGAGAAAACATACTCTTTGTTTCAGTCAACCACCAACAGCTGCAACAGTCTGTTTGCCAAAGTAGTAGAAAATGCTACAAGGCCTGAATTTCTCAGTTATTGTAGTGTGAGTACAGCATCAATGCGTCTGCAGTTTTGTAGCATACTCCAGTGCAGACTGGGTGCAACTTAAAACTTGCAACGTTACTGTGAGGTAGCTTCATGTTAAGTAAGGAAGAGGGACTGAGACATAGAAAAGTTATTTCTGCAAACCACAAGAGAACAGAAATCTCTTATCCTGAATTCCTAACCGATCTTCAACAGCATCATCCATCCTTTCTAAGTTTGGAAAGCAGCGTTGGTTAGAAGGAAATCAATGCTGGTAACTATTTATAGTCTGTACGTTGATTTGAGATCTATACATTGGTTGAAACTTTGCCCAGAATATGAAAGAGATGCCTCCGTACCTGTTTGATTGCAGCAGAAGAAATTGTCAGTCTTTGCAGTTTCTTTCTGAATGTCTCAGGAGATCTAAGAAGACAATGGGACAAATCCGTGTTGATGGCAAGGAACATTTCTCCAGCTAAGGCAGATAAGTTACTTCTGTTTTGCTAGCAATTATTTGGTCCCAGTGGCTTCTTGTGCAAAGTATTTCCCCCTCTCAGTTCTAGGCAAGGTAATCTGGAGCTCTGCCATTCACCTAATTCTCACTGCTGACAGGATAAAAAATGGAGAAGCGTTGAAGGAAAAACTAAAAACTGCAGCATGGTCTCAGGTTTTGTGAAGGACACCGGTCTGTCTTTTTGCGTCCTGCAGTCTGAATGCTGATTCTGTTCTATGATACCTTTTAAAGTTATGGCACACTGGAAGCTGGTATAAGAATACATATTTCAATTGCATAGGTGCTTTCCATTTAGGGAGCATTTTGCTTTTGCGTTTCTGAAAGCAGAGGGTCTAATCAGCTTACCTTTGTGGTCGTCTTGATGGGATAAGGAAGCCGTCTGGTTGGGAGGAAAGTACTTGCTGTGTGGCTCTCCCAGAGCTGAGCTTGCATATATATACTTTAAGTTGTATACCATATACAGATTTTAGATTTCAGCGTCACGAAGGGGGAATGGTGTCAAATGAACTTGCCTAACTAATCATCTTGCACTATTTTTGTCTCAAGAGAATACATACGATATTTGCAAACGAAACAAGATAAGCGGCTACATACATGAAACGGACCGAGTCATATTAAATTTCTTCTGATTTAAGCAGAAAATACCAACTTCTCCACATGATGTAGGGCAAAGAGGAAAAAAACACCCTATCTGATATGCTTGATCTGAGGAGTCAGATCAAATGAAGCAGTACTAGCTTCTGAAGATATGCCTTTAATGTTCAAATGTAATGACTTGCTATCTTATCTGTAGACGCTGCATGTGATAGGGTTTAATCATTAGAGAACTAAACAGAAAAAAATTAAAAATATCCTGTTCAAATGCTGTTTGTGTAGCAAGCCATTTAGGGAAAATAGTAGTCAGATTGTCTCAGAATGTCTGGTTTGCTGTCATTTAAAAAAAAAAAAGAAAGAAAGAAAAAACCAACAGTTAATATGTTGCTACAGGAGGTAAAATAATATTATGTCAATCCATGGGAACAGTTGGTTGGGGGAGGGTATTTAGTCTGGTATGTTTCCAGAGAAAATCTTCGAATTCTGTAAGGTTCTGACATCCTGTTTAGTCGCGTATGTATGAAGCAAAGGGGTTGTGATCCACCCAGCTGTCTCCGACAAAAGCTCCTGAGCCCTACATGAAAGATCTTTGCTTTTAGAATAGAGAGAAAAATTTTGATAGCAGCATCACTGCAGGGAACAATGTGTGAGGAGTGTCTGTGCAATTTGGTAACCTACCTTCTGATCTCTTTTAGGTAACTCATTTTTAGGATTTTTTTTTTTCTGTCGTGCTGTTTCCAAGTGTTCCCTCGTGCTTTTAACATTTTTTTAAATAGTGGAAACAACTTGGTATCTCAGTTTTCTTTCATGAACTGTGTAGCCTAACTGGGTGAGGACCCAGTCAGCTTGGATCTCATTTGTGGTTTCAGGCAGCAAAACGCTAGAAAACAAGTCGTGGATGAGAGCACAAGATAACATTATGGCCAGGGGTGAGGGATGGCAAGGGATGACAGTGCAGTTGGCATCGCAGCCTGAGGTGGTGGCACAGTAAGATGTGACAGTGCAGAGACTGCCTTAGTGTCGGAGGGAGTATCAAAGCCTCTTCTGTTTCAGAAACATTTCCCTCTAAGATGAAAGGCAATCCTAACCAAGCACTGAGGACAAACACTGACAAATTGCTGTGTTATGCAGGAAAAGGGGCAAATGGGGTGTCTGTGAGACCTTAGTCCATCTGACATTGACAGCAGCTGATGAAAAATAGACAAAAGACTACTGTAAAAGTATGTAAGGAGGGGACATTGCTTCGCTTACTGCATATAAACACTCAAATGTATTGCTACAAGATTTTTTTCTTGTTTAGTTTTCTTTTCTTTTAACAGATTCTGTATGTTTGTCCTCCATCAAAAAGTTTCAGAGTCAGAAATAACTGTCATTAAGTGAGGAACTGTTGGTTAAGAATGGCTGTGGAAGATAGACAGTTTTCCCAGTTTTTGAATGGGTTGCTGACCAACTGGCGCTTAAAAATTTCAGGAAGAATTTGATAGATAGATATTTAATCCTGGCTCTTGTTGCCACTAGTGACATCTGGCAGAAGGGATACAAATATCACTATCCCCCCTCAAACCGTTCTAAGAAATGACTTATTCTACATAGGAAAAAAATTCCTCACCCTTGTGCACACACCACCCTTTTCTCCCCCTCCAATTCAGAAAATTGCCTACATAGTGCCAACAACTGATGCGAAGTAAGTAGGGCATCCAACATAAAAATCGATGGCATGATATGACCTAATGAAGCTAAGTTAAGAGGAAGGCCAAATTCTGCTGAAACTCTTGGACTGCAGGAGTCTACATGGGAATTTGGACTCTGGTGTCTATTTCAGAGAATGTATTTGATTTTAGATGCAATGGCTTCTCATTTTGCCTAGAGCTAATTCCACATATGTTAACCCCTCGCCCCCACTCTTCCCTTTAAAAATAGCATTGATTGCTGTTATTTCCCTTAATGCCTGTGGACTCCTGCCATTAATTTGAACTTTTGTACGTGCATCACATAAGGATGCAATCTTTAAAAGTGTGCTTTGTTTTCTAAGAGGCTGTAAGAACGTGAATCCTTTTGCTCTCTGAAATTTTAAAGATAAATCATGAACATCAAATGATTTATGGCTCTAGTATGCTTAGCTGCACTCAGACTCCAACGAATTTTGGAGTCTCTTCTGCAGTGAGATTGGGGGCACTAGAGATCCAGAACATGTGCGCTGGCTGGCGGGATGAAATGCACAAGGATCATGTAACTCTATTTACAACCAGCCTCCAACAAACATTTTAGTTGCAAGCCCTACATTAGAGATTGCAAAAACATCTGTCTGGTCATTTTTACCTTCTTACATCAAATACAGCTGCCATCCAATTTGGCAGGGAGAGGAACTAGGGATGTATTAAAGAATAAGGAGAAGATATCCCTGCAGGTGGTCAGGTCACCACTAAAGGCAATTTTAAACCCTGTGACTTGGGCATTTCATTCTCCTCAAGTCTTATTGACTTCTGGAGGATTCTGTAATGGAATGCTCTTCTCCTTTTATTTTTCCCATTTTTTTTATCTTAACCTCTCTGGCACCTGTTCCCAGGTTGAGCAGCTGTATTTTAGGTCTTCTCTAATTGTTCTGTAATATTCCTGTCATTATTCTTTGAGTGCTGATGTGAGTCGTGTGCAGCAGAATAACAAAAGTACACTAAACAGTTGTGAATGCCCATTTTGATTCAAATAAATCTGATTTACTGCCTCTGTATATGCTTGTGATCGTTTTCCCTGGCTGCCTATGATATGGATATCCATAGTTACCAGTCAAGGAATAGAAATCACCTCATATAATGTGTATAACCTATTGCATGTGAAGAATGACATTGCATAGTGCAAGGGAGATATCCAGTCAGCTTGTCATTTGCTTTAGGAATATGTGAGATGAAAGAAATTGTATGAATGTAATTTAGTGTAATTGCATTAATGCATCATGCTGCTGTCATTCTAGGAACTTGAACATTCTAGCTCTTGGAGTGATTTGGAAATAGTTGTAAATGACTTTAGGTATGTATTACTTAAGCTAACATCTATGGACAACTTCTGACTACTTTTCAGTAAAATGCTGAAAAAGAAGAACGCCAAAACTGCTGCTATGGGGTAGGGAGGCTGTACCTGGGTAACATACCAAATAACATTTGTTGTATTTTTACACAGTTAAATTAATTACAAAAAATTAGTTTCAATTTCTGTTTCTTTCTGAAAATGCCCATGTAGTGATGCAAAAACATTTTTTTTTTTTTTCTGAAGAAGGAAGTCACATAGAATGACTCCTGAACTGCTAGATTCCTGGATCTATTAAACCTGATGGAATCATTCATAAATGGGCAGAGTACTTGAACCATCAGATGGTTCTTTCAATAGTTTAAAATTACATGCAGCAACATCAGAAAGCATGTAAAATAAGTAATTTTTCTACATAAGTTCTAAAGCAAAAAGGTTACCTATTTTTGGAATTATCCTCATAAAATCGCCAATAAAAATGTATGTGTAGGGTAATCATACTTTTTGAGTAGAAAGTAAAATCAGTTCTGTCAAAGCAATCTTCCCTAGCTAAGTTGGAAGAGAAGCTACATGCAAAAAACAGAAGTGGTGTTCAATATTTCGTCTGCTCTATTGTTTTCTTGTGTGATGTTCTGCAACTGTCAACCATGAACAGCCCTAGAGAGGTGCTTGTTACAGGAGTTGTCACTGGGCTGTGTTTTTACACTGTGTAGCCCAGTACAGTTGTGCTTAACTACGGTTTATATGCACTATAAATAATCATCAGTTGCAGCAGGCTTTCAGATGTTTGAAATTAACTCAGATGTTTTGGAGCCTGTCTGTATATTCTTGTTTATTCCTTCTCACGCAGTGTAAACAGTGTATCCCACTGGAAAGAGAAACAGCCCCTTGCAGTTACGTAATTACAGGAGTACAAAATAAGAATTGGGTCATTATTCACGCATATACTAATCTAGTACGGATATTGCTGAACAATGCAGTGCCTTTGATTTTTCTGGCAGAGTTGCTTGCCAAGGATATATATATATTTCAAGGATATATAGGTTTCAAAAAACTTAAGTGCTAACTGACATAAAATTGACTCTCAGCGATGTTTTTCCTATGTACAAAGCTCATACCCAGTCTGATTGATAGGTGCCTGGTGAGGAGTGATAACCTTCTGTGCTCCTTCGTTTGCAGAGATCAAGAACTGCTCACAACTTGCCACTGCTCCAGGCCAGGCTGTGTGCTCAGGCTTTTGTTCTATGGAAACTAGAGCATGATAAAGGGGCTGATGTGTGTTTGGGTATTGTCCAAATGCAGAGTTCGTGTCTCCAGGCCATGCACTCAGACTCAGGAGCTCAGAAGGATCCCTTCTTCCCTTGTTAGGCAGTGGACGTTGCCAACAGCAAAGCACTGGCAATAATGAGAACTGTAGAAAAGTAAGCTGAATTAATACGGTAGTTGGTACTAGAGACATGATGGCATCAGATATGAAAGCATTAGGTCTTTACAAACAAGAATTCGTTTGTGTGTGAGAGCTAAGCCTGGCTTAATCAAATGGTGCATCAATAAAGCCATCCCACTGTTCAAATATTTAGGGGATTGGTGGGATGAAAAGATGGAAAAGGGCATCATTCTTCCTATGCAGGGCTGCATTTGTCCTGTAGTTCATGAGTAATACCAGTGTCCAGATATTCAAGCAATTTCAAGCTTTATTGTATCCTGTAGAATAACACAAACAGAAATTGTGAGTTCTTATTATTCATTTTTGACAAACTACAGTATATTCACTATGGATCCTATTAACAAATTGCTGTAGTCAGTAGGTGTAAATTTAATCACTTCAAATCTGTTGCTCTGAACAGAGAATACATTTATTGTACTCCA